TGAGTTGACACATTTGACTATGAACAAAACGTTGCAACACGACACATAGAATTCTCCATCCTAAAATGAGATAAAACCAAAGCTTGCATTTCCATAAAACTCCACAAAGAAAGCTTGATCCATGCTCTGGATGTTGAGTAAAGCATTACTATATTCTAGAGAACCTACAGTACCAATCGATGAGTTATTACGTCCCAAAACTCAATGATAAAGATATCAGGATGGTCATAAATAGACCGCCAATTTATTAACCAATAGGAATGGATGACTCGAAGAAAAACAAATGACAATGATAGTAAGCACTGGAAGGTAAATCAGCATTCAATATTTCTCTGTTTCCACACTTCGCACCTCCCCCACAACCCATTGCAAAAGAAACTCGATCACATACGCGAGGAATCAATGCCTACTTCATAAATCCTCGCAAATGGGATAATTGAAGTGCGAAAACTTGCAAATAATAGTTCACCCCTTCATATTACAATAATAACAGCGTACGACTCATTCAAGAACAACAAAAAGAAACAATCAAGCTCTAAAACAACAAACGTTCAACATTTCAAGGTGCACATCTTCCAATAAACCGGGGATATAAGCAAACATCCCTAATGTGATATGAGTTGGTCAGCCAGCATATAAACCGCTCCAATCCTAGACCATAACCTCCATGAGGAACAGACCCGTATTTCCGTTGATCGGTATACCTTAAATATATACAGATGTACCCTTCCGTCACGGAGGCAACATAATCCTAGCAAGTAAATAATCAAACACCGAAGAAACCTACCAGAAATAGTTCTTCGCATCGATTCCTGCTCCTTTGAATGCCTTATGCAACTCTTCTTCGCTCCATATACGCATTGAGCCTCCAACTATTTCGCCAACACCTATTATACGAATGGTATTGAATTATCGGCTATATAAAAAGGTCCGGATCTATATTAGTAATGTTTCCCTCAACTGGCACGAGGAGACAAACACGAAACGAAGATATACGCGATGGACAGTACCTACCTGGCATCAACAAATCTACTGATTCAGTAAGTTCGTTGTCATCTTTGCATCGCGCCATATAAAACGATTTAATACCAGCTGGGAATCTGTTTAGCAAAATTGGCTGAAAAAGGAATTTGAAGCACTGCTTGCCATAAACAAGCCAAATTTTCACTGGTCGCTCACGAAGACACTACAATTAAAACAAAAACAGACCATTGGTCATTTGAACACTCGATTCAAGTCCTACCTCTCCGATTGTATCCGTCATTTTCCTTTCAGCCGCTTCCGCAATGTCTTCTCCATGTACAAACTTCTCACCGAATTCGTTACGTACATCATGTTCAATTAGCCAGTCGATGGCTTGAGTGTACGTCATCCGACGGAATGGGCGCTTTGGCGGTTTGAAATCCTAAATTTTCTCTGCTAAAATAACGTTTCGTTTGAAATAAGTACTGCAACCGCGTGCGTCGAAGCGCCTGTGCCTTCAATGCTGCTAGGAATTTAGTCGTAAAATACGCCGCCACTTACAGTGACGCTCAAAAGTCTTTGGCTAAATGCTTTGGCCGTGACACTATTTCGCCACATCAAATTCGTTCAAATTTTAACATTTGCATACATGTTTGAAAACTCGCTTTCCACCCAATTCAGCGTACTACTGTTGGATAGCGGAGAGAGGAAAAAATGAAAATTATTTGGCTAAAAACACCCGAGTATGACTTAATTTCAGATAAAATTCAAACTATGAAAGATATGCACGGTGATCTGGTCCAGTTGTTCAGAAATATCAATAAAAATATCTGTTGTAGTTTTCGTTTGAGAACCATGACTTTCATGGCAAGCTCGCTGTTTTCAGCGACTGAAGAAACGTAGTTGGGTGAACATCAAAAAGAGCGGTGGCGCCAACAAGAAATTGGCGGTTTTTTGCCACAGCATACGCTAAAAAAAGAAAAAAGCAGCTGTGACACCTACAGGCGCCAAAACCCAGTTCATTGGACATCATCGGTAGTAATGATAAATTCCCCAAATCAGCGCGATTACGCTACTTAATAACTCTTACTTCACCACATAGCGATATGCCGTAATTCACCGAGAAGCCATGAAAGTCAAGTACTAAGACATGAGTTGCACGAACCGGGTTGACATGATCGATAAGAGTTTTGACAGACGGATCCGAAAGAAGCCGATCAACCGTGTCACAAACAATGTCCTCTATGCGATCCATCAACTCATCAAAAGTGATAAATGCACACTCCGCCTCGACATGAGCATATTCGGCGAGATGTCGGCGGGTTCGTGATTTTTCGGCACTGTAATGAAACACGCTGTATAGAAAAACGGTGAAGAGGTTCCAATAACTTACCGATATGACTGTGCGATGCAGTACACATCTCCAAGTGAGGCGTTGCAGGTCTCGAGGTACAATTGGGATGACTGCGTGAGGTACGACTGCTCACCGAAGAAATCAAGAGCGAACAAAGTTGCTCCACCTTCCACCTGAATTGAAAAAGAAAAGATCCAAGGAGGAATCTAAGCAAACAACGGCAGCATTGAAAATTTTCAAGAGCACAGACAAGGCCACACTTTTGCAACATTCGCTTAGTAATTAGGCGTACAAAACTCCTCTTACCATACAGACGTAACTCAAAGCTGATACTCACCTGAGTTTGCACAAGTGTTGGCGGACAAACTTCAGTATAGCCGGCATGATAGAAGTGTTCTCGCATTGCCCGTGTCGCTGCGGCTCTTATGCGCAAAATGCGAGACGCATTCTCACCACGAATTACGAGATGCCTTGAAAACAGCAAGCATTGATATCCTTCTCAAAATACGGAAAAGACGTCCCTTACAAAAATTATACATACTATAAGTGTCGTAAAATGTGCACGCTACCTGTTATCGAGCATTACTTCTACTCCAGCTTCCTCATTGAGGACGTTGTCAATGCCACCGGCTGGGGCAGATCCTATCAGTTGCCAATAATCCACTATCAATTCATGACCATCTGGTGCTTGCTTTCCTTCAGGTACCTAAATATACAGCACCGAATTCTAGAAAACCTTACTCATCTTGTGAGTGATATTGTGCGAGCGGTCAAGACCTTAAGTCTCTGAACCTAAAAATATCTAGAATCTGTTGAAAGCCTCACCTTCTTGATAGTACCATAAACTTCAACCGAACTCTCTGTACTTAATGTAACCGCATCGTAACTTTGACACTAAAAATAGGAGACTATTTCGAGTTGCCACCACGTCAGAACAAAAACCCAAGCTAATTGAAATAATGAATAACAACAGCTCCAATTAGAACCCACCAGAAGGTCACTAAGAACACATTGAAGGTAACCAGAGCCGTCCCGAAGCACCCAGAACATAAGCGCCTTTCCTAAAAAAATTCCATCAGCTGTAACAAAAAGAGTGTGGAAGGGAATTTGCCCAAATTTCAAAATCTTGAATGCTGAGTTTCACGATAAACAAATGGAGTAGCTTTACTTTTCATTTTAAATGGAATGCAACTCTCACAAAAATTCTGAAATCTTCCGCCCTACAGGCTAGTCTAGCGAGCGGCTCCCAACACCTACCGGATTCCATATAAAAGCCTCACACTCGCTCATGTAACTTCACTGTTTTCCGTTCCTGCCTATGCCTTGCCTATACGAGCACACTTTTCCATTTACTTGCCAATGCCAACAGCCTCTGATTAGCTGTTACGATTTTTCCCCCAATGTACCTTGGAATTGTTCCGGTCATTTATGAAGTTGCCGTTGTATCCCTCTTCTCTCAGTGCTCTCTCTTGTGGTTTACGCATTTTTTCTGTTGTTTTATATGCGTCTTTGCCTTGCCCCCTCCTTCCCTCGACTCTGGCATGTGGACTTCAGCAACGTTGGCGGACCTACTACGATGGTATCCGGAGTTCTCATTCACGCCCGTGAGAACTTGCAGTGTTGGCGGCCCACTGCCCTTCTGCGCTGTCCTTCACTCAACTGCCGGCGGCCTCCTCCCCTTCCCCTTTTTTTTATTTCTACAACTAGCTCGCACTACAACAAAAAGGCGGAGAAAAAAGCGAAGCCCCAGGACAGTCATCAACTGGGATCACTTCACTTCTCTTGTCAGCTTATGGGAGGATTCCGTTATCGAAAACATCGACGAGGAATACATCGGCTCGTTGAACACCTTCACGATTGTGGCAGGAAGGCAGAGAGTTTGAAGTCACCAAAGGGACGTCTGTCTACGGAAACTCTCGAGCTGATACGCCAACGTGGAGCCGCACGAGCTGCAGGCAATCACCAACTCACGTCCGAGCTTGCGAAGCTAGAGC